AAAAAAGAAAAAAAAATTTGGGAATTGCCCTCAACTCCTTCCTCTTCCTAATTCCCCATATCCAGTCATTTTTWAAATAGTATGTAATTAGTTTTCAATTTTCTTCTTCTTGATMTTTTAATGTGCCTAATTTATAAATTAAACTTTATCTCAGATATGAATAGGAAAAACAWAGACTATGCAGGGTTCAGTACTATCCACTCTTTCAGGAATCCACTGGGAGTTACTGGAAAGTACCAATGGCATAGTAGTGGGGACTACTATGTATTTATTACATTCCTTGACTCCTCTCTGCACTCCCCAGCATTCTCTTCCCTTGTGACCCATTGCCCATGATGAAGACATCAGTGGCATGAGTTTCTAGTTTTGCTACTTAAAAAAAAGTTGGCAATAAAATATTTCCTGGTTTCTTAGCTTGCCACAATATTTTGTACTGACCTGAATGATCACTTGGCAGGCATCGAAGTTTGGGCTTAAAGCTTTTGTCCTTGAAAACATTAGGTATTTTGTTGTTTTGCAATGTCTTCCTCCAGGGTGGCTGATGAGAAGTCTGCTGTGGTTCTTATTCCAATCCCTTTTCCTGGTAATACCTTTCTTTCTTTCTCTGGTCACCTTATTTTTATTTTTTTGTAGTTGTAGATGGACAGAATACTTTTATTCATTTGTTTTTATGTGGTGCTAAGGATCAAACACAATGCTTCCTTCACACAAGCTAGGTAAGCACTCTGCAACTGAGCCCCAACCCCAGCCTCTCTAGTCATCTTTGTATTTGAGAAAGATCACTACTGCCTACATGAGAAAAATAGTCTGGAGGGGACAGAATTGGGTATAGAACTGGAGATTAGTTTGAAAGYTGTCACAGAATGAAGTCAATGGTGACCTTCATAAAGTATAATACAAAGAAAAGATGTGGGGAAGAGTTGAAGGAGGGGTATTTATCTAAAGTGGTATGTAGATAGGTAGAACGAAAAGAGTTGAGGATAGTGCCCTAGGTCAGGCTTGGAAAAGGAGTAGTGCCACTCATTAAGAGAATAAGGAAGGAAGAGAAGATTGGAGTTTGGGGGAAAGAACATGATGGGCTCAGTTTGGAATATCCAAACGAACAGAATAAGAAAAGTGGTTCAAGGACTATGTGCTCAGTGAGTGTATTTATTTATTTATTTCATGGCACTGAGTGGAACCCAGTATCTAGCACAATACCAGTGAACATTTATTGCAACCTTACTATGGATCAGGTATTATTATTATTTTATAAAATAAAATCTGTTGGAGTGAAGTACTCATTATTATGCCATTTTACATGCAATAAACTGAAGCAGTGTGAATAATTTGTGTAAAATTGCCTGCCTAGTTGATGAGAGAGTTGAAGACAAGTAATGTGACTTCAGAACTTGAAACTTAACCTTGTGTAAACCTCACAGTGCTTCTGGAAGGTAGGTATTACTTTGAGCCTCATTTTTAGATTTGTAAAGTAAAGGTAYTCCTCTACTWTACAAATCTAAAAATGAGGCTCAAAGTAAATTATTGCAAAAATAACATAACTCCCTGGTAATTGGGCTACAATTAAAATCTAACACCCATGGACTGGGGACATAGCTTAGTTGACAGAGTGTTTGCTTCACATGCACAAGGTTCTGGGTTCAATCCCCCACACTACCAAAAAAAAAAAAAAAATGTAATGCCCAAGCCGAGCATGCCTGTAATGCCAGCTGTTTGGGAGGCTAAGGYAATAAGATGCAAATTCAAGGCTAGCTTGGGCAATTTAGTGAGAGTCTGTCTCAAAAAACAAAAATAAGTAAATAAAAGGGCTGGGGAACGTAGATCAGTGGTAGAATCTCTGGGCTCAATCTTCAAAGTACTGCAAATTAAAAATATATTA